ACGACTTATGCTCCTCCTTAGTTGCTATGTATCTAAATTAAGTGTATCCTACGTGCCTATATATATGCATACTGATATTTGCACAGTTAGGGTTACTGTACTGTATAGACATACCAGTATCTTGGACTGGTGACATCCTTTCCTGTGCTTGAATGGCAGCTGTAAAATTTGATATTCTGAATCTTTTTCCATGAGCAAATTGTCACTAAACAAAAAGCTACGGCTTCTGAAATGTTCTCATCCTTTAAATTTTTCAGAAGTGATTTCACAGTGCAACACCTCATTATCCATCTAATGGAGTCCAATCTTGCTGATTTCCTTCACCAAAGTAATATAAAAGATCTCCAAATCCTGGACAGGGCAGATCTTGTGGAAAACCAGAAGCAGATATTTTCTTGTCTTTTCAGCTCCAATGGTCATGCAGACTTTTAAAAAAGACTTAGAAATGATAGAGAGCATTAAACTTCACACAACAATCACTTAAACAGCTCTAACCACAAACAAATTCTCTACATCAGACAGTGCTTAATATGCAATATTTAATATTAAGATATGATCAAAATCATATGCAATGCCATTTTTTAAAGCATCTGAGAGTTTACTTGTGTTATGGGGTTATCTAGCTCTATCTGTGTTCGTGACAGAGGGAGGTCCGCAGGCCCAAAAAGGGGAGAGAAGGGGGGGGATGTTGATGATTTACAGGCTGGTTTGGCTCAGATCTGTGAGAAATAGGGCAGGAGACCCACAGATCCACGCCCTGGGAAAGGGGGAAGGGTAGGGAGATGGGAGCTGGGCCTAAAAACAGAACAGCGGTGAGAATCTGAGGAGGAAAGATAATTTAATAAATATGATACCTGAATGCAGAAAGCAGAGTTCTCTGGGGTGAGTATTCTTCTCTTCTGAGAGCTGGGTATCCAGAAAGTTGTCAGTGCACAGAACTGGAGTACTAACTCTCCAATTCCTGTGCTTCACATGATGCTATGATGTGGAATACGGATAACAGAAATTATAAAACTGTGACATTCCACCCCTTTTTCCACATCACTTATTATCCATACATATATACAAACAAGCAGTAATTAAAATGCATTACACACACAGATCCATATACATATATATACACAGAATCACTGATTGCACTCTCCCAGCATCAAATTCCCTTGGTACACACTAAACATCCCTATCTTTCTGTATCACCCATCAAGTTCACTCAGATCCCTGTGCAGTAACAGTTCCACGGAGAGGTTTACCCTTTCCAGAAGCTGGAAGGACCCAAACAGCTTTTCCCAACATGCTCTTAATGTGTACCACAAGGACCTTATCTCCCTCAAGGTCTCCATCTCAACCGACCGATCCTCTAGTGTCGACCAGCCAGGTGGCTTCTGCAAAATGTTTCCCCCAATGCTTAAATGTTCCACCACCAATTGCTTTCAGTGTGGTTTTTAACAACCCATTGTATCGTTCAGTTTTACCAGAAGCTGGCGCAAGATAGGGGATGTGATAAATCCACTCAATGCCACAATCTCTGGCACAAGAACTTACAAGGAGATTTTTGAAATGAGTCCCATTATCTGATTCAATTCTTTCTGGAGAGCCACATCACCACAAGACTTGTTTCTCGAGACCCAGTATGGTGTTTCAAGCACCTCAGTGGTTGTCTCCACCATGGTAATCACATAACACTACTGTGAGATTGTGGCAAACTGATACAATATTTTTTTTGCCGTTGCCCTTCCCCCCAGAGAGGTTTCATCCTCTTGGCTTGTTTAATTATGGCAAATATTTCAAAGTCATAAATAACCTGTGCAACAGCATCCATAGTTAAGTCCACCCCTCGGTCTCTAGCCCACTTATATGTTGCATTGTGAGAATACAAGAAAAACTGTTCAGAGCAGAAGCTGTGGAGCAAGATAAACAGCATTGCATCTCTCTTCCTTGATGGCCTGAGGTTTCATGGGCCCACTGAGGAAGAAATAATTCACCCTTGTTTTGTCAGTCCAAGTCTATTTCAGCCACCTCAATTTTGGCAGCTCAATCCACCTGATGGTTATTTTGTTGTTCTTCAGTAGCCTGACTCTTGGGCACAGGACCATCGACTTGACACAACTTTATATCAATAGTCTTTGTTCGGGCAGCAATGTCTTTCCACAGTTCAGCAGCCCAAATAGATTAACCCCTTCTTTGCCAGTTATTTTGATCCCACTGCTGTAACCACCCCCATAAGGCATTTGCTACCATCCATGAGTCAGTGTAAAATAAAGCACTGGCCACCTCTCCTGATCCGCAACATCTAAGGCCAGTTGGACAGCCTTTACCTCTGCAAATTGGCTTGATGCTCCTTTCCCTTCAGTGGTCTCTGCAACTCGTCGTGTGGGACTCCACACAGCAGATTTCCATCTGCGATGCTTTCCCACAATACGACACGATCCATCTGTGAACAGGGCATATTTCTTTTAATTCTCTGGTAGTTCATTTATGGTGAGGCTTCTTTAGCACGTGATACCTCTTCTACTGCTCATGTTCCAAACTTTTTACCTTTAGGCCAGTCCCTGACTTCTAAGACTCCTGGATGACTGAGATTCCCCATCTAAGCTTGTTGTGTAATCAGCACAATCCACTTACTCCAAGTGGCATCAGTAGCATGATGGGTGGAGGGAACCTTTCCTTTAAACATCCAGTTCAGCACCGGCAGTTGAGGTTCCAGAAGGAGCTGCGTTTCAGTGCCAGTTACTTCAGAAGCAGCCCAAACCCCCTCACACGTGGTTAAGGTCTCCTTTCCAGTTGGAGAGTAGCACTCTTCGGACCCTCTGCATGCTCCAGAATCCCAGGAGTTGGCCTCAGGTCTCTCCAGAGGTTCTTTCTCACAGACCCCAAGTGGGACCTTTCTCTCCAGCAGCAGTGTAGAGGATGTTCTTTATGCCCTGTCCCATCTGTACCAGCCCCAGGGCCACGGCACAGGTTATCTCTTGTTTGATTCACTCAAAAGCCTGCTGCTGCTCAGGGCCCCATGAAAAATTATTCTTCTTCCACATCACCTGAGAAAGGGCGCTAAGAATAAGACTATCATTTGGAACATGCATTCTCCAAAAGGCCACTACACCCCCAGAAAAGATTGCCTCTCTTGCTAGAGAGTGGAGACACAGCAGTGATTTTGTTGATAACATCTGCTGGGACATGAAGACACCCATCTTGCCACTTTACACCTAGGAATCGAATCTCCTGGGCGGGTCCTTTCACTTTGCTCCGCTTAATAGCGAAACCAGCTTGCAGAAGAAGCAGCAGCTTTCCCATAAGGGCAAGAAAATTAGACTAAATGACACAGACAATAAACAGATTTCCAAGGTTACCAAAACAAGGAAATTTTACATTTGCAAAGCATCTATCTTCAACTAAAAATTAAAGGTAATTTTCTTATGAAAGGAAAGCAACAAGAAAAACGGGTTAGATTTAGAAAAGATTTAGATGTGTAACTACAATTACAAAGTAGCAAGGATACAGTCTTCTCCATGTGCTACATCAAGGGGCCAGAAGCTCCTCAGGAGGCATTTTAACAGTGACATAAGTTAAAGTAGCTGATTTTTCTGCCCATAAGGACATAAAAACTCACAAAAGTTGATATATGAAATGTCTGTTAGTAGCAAACAGCTGAGTTGTGACAGCATCTAAAACTGACACAAACCACATTATGAGAAACACAAGTGAAAGCCCAATTAAATGATGGAAGTCTATTAAGACCAGGTCTTTCTTGATGCTAAAACTTACTTCACCAAAATAGGTACAGCCAATATGGAAAAATTGGCAGTTGCCAAAGTGATTTAATATAAAAGGTATGATGTACTAAAGAATAAAATGGATTGATACCACAAAAAAAACAAGTGTGATTGTACATGTGTAAATGGACACACATACATACCCTTGCTTCACCAAATCAACTGTTGCTCACCAGACTACAAGAATACAACGGGCACTGAAGTACAGTAAGTGCAATCAGTGGAGAAGGAAAAACAGAAGGCAATCACTTCACTTCCATGTCTGCAAAAGCTGGAAAAGCACAATACGTGTTAAGGGTGAATAGCCTCACAAAAGGCAAGAAAATGCTGTCTATGTTGCTAGAACTGCAAGTTGCAAGTGCTTAACTTAGAATTTTTCAATGTTTTTTGCTCGCATTATAAACATAATATAAAATGCTGCCAATCTCTAAAAATATTCAAACATTTTTTGTTCCACGTAGCTTTGGTTACCTATAAATAGTAGCTTTTTTAGGGATTTAAGAACTAAATTTCAACTACTGCACTTAAAAATGCTAGACACAAACATGTGAAACAGAAGCTAAAGATGAAGGCACACATACTCTTTGCAAATATATCTCTAGGGACTCACCACAAGCCAACAGCCTGAACTGTTCCTTTGAGCTTGATGGCACAGTATGCTTCGAGGATACAAACTCTGATAGGGTTTTACACAACAAATTCCAGCCTTGCAATTGCACACAAAAGCAACTGGAAACCACAGTCAAAGCATCCTGGAGCCTGTGGCCTTTGCATTCCTGAGGTTCTTCCTTGTCCAGGATCAAAGCTCAGATGTGTAGGACTGCTGGGAGCAGTTTTTGCTGTGCAACTCCTGAACAAGTGTACCCCTCCCCTCTGTCATTAAGGAAAAATTAGTCATCTGTTAGAGGCCACTATTTTCCCTTGGTCCACAAATGCAAAATGTCAGGTTGCTCTTGCAAACGGGCCCTTTGGTGCAGTAAGCAGCACAAATCTTCAGCCTTTCAAGTGAAGAAGTCTTTTAGATTTTTAAGACACATTTTGTGGTAAGCATCAAGAACATGAGAAACATCTCCTCAGCTAAAATACTGCACTTCACAGTCACTTGCTACGAAGGTTATACATTTAGCTAAAGTAGAGTCCATCTGTCATTGCACAATCCTGGAATACTACACTAAATTTCTTTTTGAAAGCCAGGGGTCAACATAAAAAATGACGTTCATTGCTAGCATACATCATTTGACTATCATTTTATTTTCATTCCAGATGCAAAAATGCACAGGGATCAGGTCAGACTGTTGAACTGGTATTCAGTCAACCCTGAATTGTGATTGAAAAAGAAACTTCTAATGTAGATAAAAAACAGAAACATATATAGAGATAGTAAATGCATTTCACTAGCTGCTTTAAAGGACATGGGAGTGAATGTATCTATTTTTCTAGAGATTAATAATTTTTACAAAGAATATGAAGGAATAAAAAGAACTATGGAAGAAGAGCAGCAAGCCTAGGAAGGCAAATCGATAACGAATACAGGGAAGGAATAACTAGGTGTGAGAGCTCTGAACAGGTGATGCTGAGTACCCTTGTTGCAAACACCACACCCATACAAAAACCTAATTTGGAAACTCCCTGTCAACCTGTACCTGAAGGATTAGTTTGCTTTTAAGGATCACCAGAGAAAAATTCTTGTAACAAACTCAAATATATTCTTACACATTATTAAACAGACCCAGACATATATACGACATTATAACTTTCTTCAAGAAGTGTCATTTTCCCATCTTGATACTACTTGATTTTTCTTTCAATTACACATACAAAAAATTAAGCAACAACAGTGAAAAGAAATACTCCATTCAGTTGTTTGACTGATGTAAAAACACAGAGCTTTGCTGATATAAGCAGAGCCATGGTCATTTAGATCAGCTGCAGAATTTTCTCTCATTAGACATTTGCTGTCAGGCTGTTGTGTATAAACAGCTCTATAAACAGAACTCTGTGGGTTCAGCATTTTAACGTTCAAGCCGTATTTCATATTCCCAAATTCAGTAGCATCTCAGAAATCAGTGGAATACTTATCTTCATAATATTCCACGTGACCACCTTGAAAAGATAGTTTGGAATAAATACATGTTTAAACCAAACCTCCTGATGCATTAACATAATGGCTTTTTAATACATAAGAGCTGCAAAGAGATGGTGGTTTGTTCAGTTTTTTTATTTTCCCATTTGCAAGGCAAAAAGGCAAATCAAATAGGAAATGTGCTAAAAAACATTTAACAAAGCCAATATGAGTCTTCCCAAACAAGAATTGTAATTACTGCCTTAACAATAAGCAATTAATTTGTCAAGTCTCATAGCTTTACAACACAGACTGGAAGACTGTACAAAATTGCATGTGGGTTTGTTCCAGAAAGCCAAATAATGCTTTGCAGAAATGAGGAAGTGCAAAGTTGCTCCTGCAGTAGTAGATTCAAATGTTTCCTACAATCCAATCTGGTAGAAAAATACTGGGCCCACACCACACATGAACTTACGAGCATCCCTCAAGACAGAGCAAAAGCCTGAACCCAAGACACCTCCACTCAGGATACTCACAGCACCAAACAAAAGAGGAAACCATAGGAACAGACAGGGCCTACAGCACTACTTCATGTAGTGAAGATGGGAAACAGGTGGTCAAGGTTAGAGGTAAACTAGGTCCCCCAGTTCAAGCAATGCTGCTTGTTTATTCCTAGCACAGCTGGGGACAGATTACACAGCAGTGGGAACTAGGTAACTTTTAAGGTTCCTCTGAACCCAATCCATTCTGTGATTTTTCCAGACTAAAACTTGAATGAAATTACAATGTAATCTCAACATGCTACAAATTTCAAGCTGCGGTATTAAAGCACATCATGTTATCATGTGTGTCCATGAGTACAGCTTATAAAGTAGATGGAAAACATAGTCATACTGCTGCTCTTCTTGTTTTTGTTTTTCCCCTAAGACTGCAGTCTGAGTGTTGCACTTTTCTAGACAGATTTAGTCCACTCAACAAGAGCTCAGTAAAAACCCCAACAATTCATACCATGGTCATGATTTCTACATAATGTTATGGCATTTAAACAAAGACAGTAGCAGCAAGCACAAGTTTATTTTTCAGTACCTTCTTTTTTTCTTTCTGCATTTCCTTCAAAACTTCCAATCTGCAATGATTGGAATATTTTTATATGAATTGTTATCTTTAAAGAATAATGCCTCTAAATAAGAAACAAGTTTCACATCTTTGAATCTTAGGTTCCAAAACACAAGTATTTCCAGACATAATATAGTCAAATCAGTAAGACAGCATTGGAATAAGATGAATTAGTAAACACACACAGAATATTGACTCCCTTTCTCCACCATCACAGCAGTGAACTGGAATTTATGGTGATGCAAGTTTCATACCTAAACCAACAAAATCACTAACTATACAATCATCTGGCTTTATTTAATAAGATCCTTTGATATCCTTGAAATGTGGAAATAAACATTTCCAGATTTTCTTGCCTGCTAAAGGTTTTCTTTTTTTTTTTTCTTAACTTCCCTGAAAAAAAGTTATGCTAAATGTTGGACATGCATTTTGCCAATAGTCGTTGACACACACTGCTGTGCTTTGGATTATACAGGACAGCAGCACCATCTACCGGTAAGAAGATCTTCAAACTTTAGAAAAAGCTGTGGAGAGCGATCCAGCCAAAATGATGCAAAATGCTACTGAGAGCAATACGTAGTTTTTCAGGCCCTGGATAGATGAAAGGAGAGAAAAAGAAAAATACATCATAATTTATATCTCTTCACAAAAAAAAAAAACTAAAAAAAAACTAAAAAAAATAGGGTTTATGATAGGGTTATGATAAAACAAATCTATCCATTGCATGAAAAGCTAATCTCATCCATAATGGCAAATTACACACACTATGAATCTTGTACAGAATAGCTAAGGAAATCTTAGGCTACACTGCCATGCTTCAAATTCCATTAGAAAAATCATGTCAGCCGTGTTATGTTAACATCTAGTAACTTAGCCTGTTCTGTGCATATCAGTTTAAGGATCTCTGTATTGCCCATCAGAAGGATGCTCACTGCTTGGTCCTTTGGAGGATTTGATCCTGGTTTATTAGTCCATGGGACAACTGCTAAATTCCCTGCTCCCACTGAAAGAACTGGCTCAAAAAAGGTTATGCTTGGCATCCCACCTCTTGACAATGCTACAGCTTTTATTTACCCCCCCCTGCTGCTCATAGCTCTGGAATTCCAATCTTCATTCCTTTGTTCAGAGTTCTTAGTTTTTCTTGGAAAACTTATTACTGCACGACCCGACTGTCAGCTTCATAATGCAATACTTGTAAGGTGGAGAAATTGAAGAGAGACAGCTGTTTATCAAGTAATGCTGCTCTACAAGCTACAGACAAGCACAAGAGAGACTAGGTAAAAGGCCTACTAAGATTACCTTGATTTCTTTAAATACAAGGACTCCCCACATTGCAGCAATGAGGCCAGGACCCTGAAGAATAAGATTCATTTGTACATTACAGCATTTCATTAAAACTTGCCACATTCTCATTATTGTTTTAAGGGTGCTTGCATTTCAATTGGATAGCAAGTTTATGCATTTCCATCCTGTATTATTACAGCATTCATGGAAAAAGCATTACCATCACCAAAGTGACTGTACCTTACCCTAGGAGGTAAGATACAATAAATAATCAAGAAGGGCTAAAGAAGTAAAAGACTGTTTTTACAGAGGGCATAATTTCTTTCTGAATTACACTGTGGAGTCTGCACTAGCTGTTACATGTTCTTTTAGAGTCTCCAAATAGTATGTCCAAACTACAGACTTTCATCTATCACCACATTTCAGAGGATTATTCAGGGTTTTTTTTTGGCAGCCATCAAGGATATTCTACTCTACTGCGACTAACCTGTCCAACAAAGTTTGATTTTATCACTCGGTATGATATCAAGACACTGGAAAATTAAGGTTATTTCCTGTATTTCAGGGATCTGGACAAAGCACAAAGCCAGACAGTTAAGACAGGTCAGGAAAACTAGTGTTTTATCTGTGATGTTGTCTTACAGGTTTCCTAGCTAACAGCAAACAGTGGCACACAATGATATTTTCCAGACGTTCCTGGTAATACAGTTTATCTCCTCTGTGTGCAATGACCTGAATTCTCACGTCTGATAAGAAAATGTCTGAAACTGTCTGCAAATGCTTCCCATTACAGCTGCTCTCTGCAACACCTGACAGATGTTTAGACAGTCATCTTCCTCTCCCTATCTTAAGTCAACTCAATAGGACAAAAATTTATACCAGGAGACAACAGTACCTAATGCTGAGTGTGTTTGCACATGCTATTTCTGAGTGAAATTGCAAAGTATTATTTACATAATAACTAAGGTGATATTTCACTGTCTAGATAACTTACATTGCCAGAGGAATGCATTTTTTAAATGAGACAAATTGTTAAAGGGACGTGGTGAATAACTGAAATTCCCTCCAGGGTGAAGTAAAGGAGCAATTCCAAAACTGCAGTGAAAGACAGGCAGCTTCTCATCAGTGCTGTCTTTAAAACGTTTCATTTAGTGATTTTATATCCTTGCCTTTTACGTATGCTGATAACCAAAGTTACTAAAGCTGCTTTCCACTAATCCTTCAGTTTGTAATGAGAATGATGCCAAGTTTTTTTTTTCATTGCATACTGCAGAGTTCATTTTGACTAACTGCATCTTGAAGCAAACTTTAATCCCTATTGTTTTATTAGTTTTTTTTTTTCCTCTTCAAAATAGAGCTGTTCAGCAGAACATTGATTTTGATACTTATAAACTTCAATTTGCCAGAAGTTATCCAGCTTTGCAGTACCATTCAGTAGACTCCTGAGAGAGTAACAGCAAATTTGTACACAGTGATGGAATTTATGCAACTCCTGGATGTTAACAGTTTGAAAGGTACAGCATCATAAGCAGGAATCCAACAGCCATTTTCCCTGCCTAGGTATAAGAAAATTATTTTCAGCAATTCAAATGCTGTTAAATGTGTTCAGGAACTGTGGTAAAAAATACTTGACTTAATTAAGCAAAACAAGAGAAAAAAATCCAGAGCAATATATACTTGGTGAGATGAAAGTATGTAACTTCTCTGCCTTTGATCACCTCAGTTCACTGTTTCATATTGATACAGTTATGTTTCCAGAGCACTGGCTTCAACACAGTTTGAAGTCTCTTACTTTCAACTCCTCCACTTTAAATTGGACTTTCAGCTCCACTTACTTTCAACTCCTCCACTTTTCACTGGCCAAAATGGTGCTTGTCACAGTCATGAAAGTTTCCAATAAAACAAAAGCTAGCACAGACAAGCAAGAGAGGCAAAAAAAAGCCCTAGGTGTGTCAAAATTTCACCTTAATTCCACAAACAGCAGGAAAAGAACTTTCACTTCAATTCTAGTCAGAGATTTTGTCGTTACATACTTACTGCAGTAATTATTGGAAAGCTGACCACAGCACTGAGATAGTGATTGGCGATGAACCAGCAGCAATTGGCTACAGCCCAAAGCAAACCAGAAACAAACCCTAGAAAAATAAATCCAGATCAAAAACATGTACAGAGAAGTATAGACAGCCATTTGTGAAACATCTGTATTTACAGCATAATAGCCAAACTGAACATTTTAGTACGGTAACTACTCTAACAAGCTAGCTCTGATAACCCAGACCAAAGCTCAAGGGATAAAATCAGCCACCTCAACTGAAGTAGCAAATTATCACTGAAGTTCAAGCTTTCCTGGGCAGTGTGTTATCCTCTAAGGCAGAGTTAGTTCTTGAAAATCCACCACTTGCAATGTCACTTTCCAGATCAGAGCAAAATTAAGGTTTTGTCCTAACTTTAATTAACCCAATAGGAGTATCTTTCAAACCAAAGTCAAATGAAGAGACTTCAAAGGCTAACTACAGCTCCAGTACACAGACTGAAATCACTGCAAAGAAGTACAAAGAACTAACAGTCATTAGCTACTAATTGAACAGTATGACATACCTGGCAGTATGGCTTGGGGATAAACATTAGGTTTGTTTTTCCTGACTGCACAGTAGATCAAAAAGTAGACGGTACTTGTAAGAAATATTCCACTGAAGTGTGCAAAAACATAATCTAAATCTGAGAGAGAAATTGAGAAATTGGTATTAGCCTAAAATACCAGCTATTAATTTTAACTACATTTATTTAACTGATTCTATTCCTACAGACAAAAATACATAAAATGCCACTGCTAACAATTCAGGTTCAAGTTGTGGTTATGAGTAACGTAACAGTCTGACTGTGGATAGATTTGGTTAGTCAGACACATCCTCTTAAACATGAATTAAATGTTGCACTGACTTCAGCATTTATCACAAGCCTTTATGCATTCCTGTGAGTTATTTTTTGTAACTCTGTTAGTCAAGCAACTGAATTAATTTATAAAAAACTTGAGAAAACCCTTAAATGAGGCCACAAAAGTGATGGGGAGTTGTTTTACATAACCACATCCTCTCTTAACCATCTACATCTGCACTCCTGTAGACAGTCATTTTGTTTCATGTCATACATTTAAAACTGCACGTGACTGCACAGATAACTGCACACCAACTGATACCAGGGAAGATAAACATGGCCTTTTTTTTCTTTCTTTCTTATCTTGAGGAATGCATCACAATTTTGATCACTCTAATCACTAACAACAATCCTTTACAGATTGGGTAGGTGCTAAATAAAACATTCCCAAGGTGGTTAAGCTGAAGCATGTAGCAAGGTAATTTCCATCTCCTCCCACCTGCAAGTCCTCATCAGAAAAGGCAACTACAATAATAACACATTGTGTCTAGTTTGGGAATACATGAAGTTCATTGTTACACTTCAACAAAAGGCTTCCATTTAAAAAGCAATGCAACGTTAATTACTTAAACTTCTGTATATCTCTTCTGCTCATTAATTATGTTCTGTCTTCTTTCCCATTACTAGTGCACTAACTTGGCAGCTGAGTGAGCTCTTGTCCCTCATGTTCCTGGCATACGAACCTGGTACTTTGAAAATGTTAGCTACATTTGGTAACATGTGAAGTGAGATAAGCATGGTATCTTCTGGGTTGTTCCTCACTGTTCCTTTAATGCAAGTCACCTCTGGGAAAAAGGGAGCTCTAGTATTTGGATGGCAACAAACTTGATAACACGTAAGGTGGTGTAGAAATTGTGTTTTGTCACTGTACTTCCAGCAGTACAGTTTCATCCTGTGCCTTTATGAAAGCAGAAGATTGCTGTGTAATAATGACATAAAGCAGAAGGGCTTATTAGCCTTTACCAAATTGACTTGCTCTTGCATATATTGTTCCATTTCTTCTTCCATGGTCCTTGATATAAAGCACTGGTACAAAACTGGAACCGTAGAGTACTCCAGCTATGACAGCTAGGCTACATCCTCTTTGAAAAGAGCAAAGAAATCAGGAAAAAGAAAACAGCCTGGTGTTAATTAGGGAAGTAAGTAACACACCTAAAACATCTAAGAAAATTGCCAGCAATGCCATAAAAATGGTATGTTAGCACATCTTTTTTTAAAGCAGAACTTGTTCAAAACAGTTATTTAGTTTTCCTGCACCTCATGGCCAAGTAATACAGACAACTCTTTTGTCGAGAACCTGCAACCAGTATTAACCACATCAACCAAGCAATATTTCTTTAGAAGTGAAGCTAGGAGAAAACAAAAGATATAGTTAAAATGTGCCCACTCTCAGCTTCACTTTGCAGCCAATGTTTTCCACATAAAGATTTCAAGGATAATGCACCCCTTCTCCGCTTCCAGATAACTGGGGCCTCAGCTGTCATAAGTCCCCTTGCTAGCTACCAATTCCACCTTGGACCATTTCTGCTGTTTAGTTACCATGGTGCCATGCTTCTTGCAGGTGTTTTCATCTGGAAACCACACCCGGAAGCATGGAATCCTTCTATGCTGGGTGCCAATCAACAACATGATATAAACCAGCTCTGTAATTACTTAATTGCTATTGATGTTTACTTTGCAAATGTTGTTCTTTGGTAGGGTAAAACACACTGAACATAGAAGAAAATTATCCAACTAGCTTAGCTATTCATACACAGACATGTGTACTGTTTGTTAGAGCATGACTATGCCTGGAAAACAAATTAACAAATCATGTTCTTATTGTGTGTTTAATTACTTTCTCTGTTAACGACTTACACAAATCTTTTTTTTACTGGAGAAAGATTGGTCACCCATGAGACATCAGAGGTGTCTTCAGAAGCATTAACAGACTGTAGAAAAAGTAGAGTTTTTACTCAGTCCTGCTTTTTTCCCTTTAAAAAGAAAACAGCATCTCAGACATCATATTAATACAGCAATTCTGCTCTGAGAAAATGATAATGGAAGGAAAAAGAAGAGGAATTTACACAAATACTTTGAATAAAGAAAAATCATTTCAGGGAAAAAAAAAAAAAAAAAAAAGAACAAACCTAACAGTAATAATTGGATCCATCTCCAAGTCTGTAAATGATTGCCTATGGATTTTGGCTTTCCTACTTTACAGAGCACTCACAAGCATTTTTAAAATCCAAATGCAGGTCTGCCTTCCAAAATTTGTCCTGTGCTGTGGATCAGGGACTGGTTCTGTAACGTGGCAAAAATCTAGAAGCACTTAAGCACTCAGTTACCTTCCCACTAAGCATTCTCCTGCTATTACAGTTAAGTCTCTATTAAAATTGCTTCCTCTTCTCAGAGAGGGAAGAAATACATGCTGTCTGCAACTCTGCAATAAGTACTTGTAAGTAATAAAGCTGAGAAAGTAATAAAGCTGAGAAAGAACATTTGGGAAAGCCTTTTCTGTTGCTCATGTTTGACTGAAAACACAATTAAAATATAATCAATGCATATTTATACAGTCTTATGTAGTTTACCATGAACTTTAACAAAATTTGTTAACATTCAAGCAATTTTTTGCTGTTGTTTTTAAACGGTTACATATTTTCACTGCTGTAAAGTAACAACTATAGAGTACTTACAGATTCTCTCAGTAATGGCGTGCTTTCTAATGAAGCTGAAGATGTTTGGACTTCAGTTTTGATAAAAAAAAATATGACAGCACTCAGAAAAGAAAAACATACCAATGATTACTACAAGTCAGATCACAAGGATATAACATTTAGTATCCAGAAACAAAAGGTGTATTTGGAAGCATGCTAGTTCATTGCCATTACTATCCCAGACTCAATTCAATACATTTTTAAAATGCAACTGCTTTGAATAGTTTTAACAAACCACTTCAGCAGGATTGATCTTGTTTTAGTCTTTAATGTTCTCTCTTCTATGTAACGCTATTGAAATGCCTCCTTTCTGTGGGGTGGTTACAGACACATGCTAATATTAGCTGTGGTAGATAACAGTCCCTTTGGCACAGCACCACACATGGTCAAACATCTGCACAGAAATTCTATATGGAAAAACTTCAACCTGCACAGAACTGGATTTGTTCCCCAAGGGAAATTAATTCTTTCTGAGTCTTTTATCACGTGCAACTGGGAGAACACTGCTCCTGCAGGGTCTCATGCACGTGCAGGAGGGGAAGGAGTATTGCCTAGTGGTGCTCCAATGCACTGACTGATTGAAAGAAAGAAGAAAGGGGAACATTTCTAATTTACCCCCAGCTCTCAGAAATCAGGTAAGCATATGTAATCAGTCTGGTTCTGGATTGGTTTTTTTTCATTATTTTTCAGCAAGATAATTTGATGTTCTACAAATTCTTTCTCGTAGCCGTAAACAGAAAGCCTCCATTTGAGGAGTGATTTATCTCCTGCTGAAGCCATATGGAGAGACACAAAAAGATGCCAGCTTCCTCCAGAGGGACTAGGTAAATATGCACAGGTCCCACCCAGGAGGCTAAAATGAAACACATGCTTCTGAGCTCTACAGAACAATATGCATATGCTTTGTGCAGCTTGCCAGGAAAACAAGTCTAGTAAGGATCTTTTCCCTTGTTGATCACTTTTTCCTCATATCTCAGGAACAGGCAGGAAGCAGCTGGTGAGCTGAATGAATTTATCAGGCAATGCTACGTTCAGTGAAAACCTCTCAAAACCATGCACTGCTAATGGGTAAAAAGTCACAGCAATCAAGGATGGTCTCCACTTCCCCCATGTTCTTAACTCTCTTCTTTTGTGCATTTTTTGGGGGGTATTTTGTGCATCTATTGCTTAGCATGCCTATGGCAAGCCTATTGCATTCAGGGCTGCCCTTCTGCTCCTGGAAAAACCTCCCTGGCCAATCAGCTGGAAAGCAGAGACAACTGCTACCTAACAAAGACCATCGTTACTCTATGTTTAGCTCAAAACATGAACAAATAATAAACTAATAATAAAATGAGAAGTCCTTCCAAAGGCCCCAAAGGAAGCCACTGTTTGGCAGTTGTTGGAGGGAAGGTAGACAGGGAGCTGCTACAGTGAGTGCACCACACATCTGTCTTGACCACGTCTACCAGCATAAAAATACTGTTCTGAACTGTTTCTGTTCTGAACTCTAGGCATGGAAACCAAAAAAAAACCAGCTATGGACAACCCAAAAATGTCATGGTAAATCACTTTGCAAAAAATAGTTCAATCCATTTGCCTGCCGGCTGCATTTTTCCCGTGGTTCTAAAATACATTTTTAATGTTACAAAAATTCATCATTACTTTTTACCTTAACAGTGAAAGTCCAGCTCCAATATAATTTAAGACTGGTCTTGCTACCTCTTCTGGGTCAATTCCAAACCATCCAAACCTGAAATGTTTAACTATTTATTCTTAGCTGCACTGATTGCACACCAAATACTATCATCTAGTCTCGAAAATCTTTATACACAGAAATAATTCAGCTGAAGTTTACATTAGAAATATTGGATCGATGCTTCATTTGGCTTGCAAAAATTCATGTTTATTCAAGAGTAATCTTTAACTTAATTGAAATTGATTTTTTTTTTTTTTTAAATCTGGGTATTTAAAAGTCAAAGTTAATTTGAATTGTTTTATCAATCCATGCTGCAGAAGAAAGTGCTCTAGTTTTATGTAAAAAACCCACATTATTTATTTACTCAATTATGTTAATAAACATGACTGGGCATTTTCTTGCTATTGAGGCAAAGGAAACAAAAAAAGATAAAATAATTAATCTGACTACTTTCCACATTGAAAGAGAAGATCTTTTAAGTATCCTTGTTATTGGCAGTGGTGCTTACAGTCTAGCTGTTAACAAGGAAAGATAAACATCAGTAACGTATGATTTAAAATGCTTACCTGGAACTTGCCCAGCCTGTCAGCAAATTGAAAGAAGCCCATATCAAAAGACCAAGAGCTAAGCCTATGGTTTTAATAATAGGAACAACTGTGATGTTGCCTGAAAAAGAAAGAAAAAATAAATAAATAAAAATCAATGACCCACAACACCAAAATTGAAATCAGTTATAAACCAGACTGTGGTCTTGCATATTTTAGTTTGGGGTTTGAGTTTCAGTTTAGTCTGAGAATGTTCAGAAGGGGATGCAATTGAGGCAATCACAGGTTGGTAGCAACAGCACTTTTTAAAAAAGAAATGCATTGAAATCACAGACTTTCCCTCAACATCATTTTAAAAGTTATTTTTGGTGCAAATTTGCTGCTTATCAAATAAAAAGCTGGAGGCATTAAGTAGCTCCACCCAGCATACGCAGTATTACTATTCACAATTATACTTGCTCCAAAAGTAAAGCTCCATTAATAGCAGGACTAGAAAAGCCAAATCATTACCTCATATAGGGAAATGGTTTCGCTGCTGTTTTGTGATGAGTTAGGATTATACTTTGTTTCTCAAGGAGTGGAACACTTACCTGTAGCCCACAGGAAGCCTCCTACCATAGCCAAAGGCCAAAAGCGGGGGCAATTCTGGATTAAATTGACCACCAAAGAAACTATCCATATGGAAGCACAGAGAATCCATTGGAAGAACATTCCTATGGAAAAAGCAAATGTGCACAAGAGAGAAATGGCAGAGCATGGCAAGTGTGAGTCTCTTGCCTCTGAACATACTCTTTTAGCTTAGGTAGTACACGAAAAAAATGAAACCTGGTCACTTTCTGTCAATCTATCCTGTGCTATGCACTCTATTAAAAAATAAGATAAATTGGTGGGCAATGTTTACACAGGCCCAATCCCCAAATGCATGAAAGTTCTGATAGCTTTCTGACAAATAAAAGCTAGAAGTTATTGAAAGCTTCTCCCACCACCCCATTAGCAAGACAAAACTCCTTCAGGGCCCAGCTCATTAATACACTGAGGATGACAAAGTTTGGACAAATCAACCTTCACTGAAGGGGCAACTAAGCAGACTGTTTAACTTCATGCCAGCTAAGGCTTTTACTTTAAACTATCCTTGTCTTTCTAGGACTGCATGTGGTACAAAAAAAAGAAGTCTGTAATACACACAATGATATTAAAAGGACACAGCTGTAGATACGTTTCTCTGGGGATTGGTTACTGACTATGCTTCACATAAATGTGCAAATACAACATGAAACCAGTATCATAAAAGTGATAACATCCTAAGGAGATTATAAGAAAACAGAAATGATGTTTCCTCTTATTAGCATTACTAATTATAAGTATAAAAATATCCTTTTGTGATTGGTCTCAGGTCCACAACCAAAGGGCAACACTCCAAAAGCCTTTTACAGTGTTATTATAAATATATATTTATATGTATATAAAATATGCATATATAAATGTATGTACTTGAGAGTCCCCAGCATAGTAAAAGTAAGGACACTTCTTCACATTCTGCTGGAAGATGCTCATGAAATCATCATTACTGTTAAAAAGAGATTTACTGTATCCTGAACTAATGCATTACTGCTTTATACTCTAACATCAGAAAGAAAGTTTGAACCAGGCTGTATTGATACTTATAAATGTATCTATAGAAACATTCACATTTGCAGGTGAAATATTATTCCTACTAGCAAAAGTAATAAAAGTAAAAATGTAGGTTAAGTTTACCGTCACCAGTATCGTATTTTTTAACTGGCACAAAATTTGTCCCAAATAGAAGAACAGCTACTGTGGAAGAGGTAAATCCAATAGCTAGATCTGTGCTATTGCTGATGTTAAAGGCATTGTAGGCTCTCTCAAAGCTCATTTTTGCTCTGAAGGTGTCCCTTTTTGTAGAGTTTTTCTTTTGTGCTGCAGGTCTTGAAAGATTCTGAAATCAGAGAGCAGAATTAAATACGTGAGTATAAAAAATACCACTCTAGTTCAGAAACCTGCAATTCAAAGGACCCTAACGTTTCTCTCTGAGAAGTCTGAAAAAACTGGGAACTATATGATGGAATCCCATGCCACACAACTGTAATCACAGGTCAATTAAAAACAGATGCAGGCAATAATAGGCGCATTTCGTAACTTCACAGAAATTGTGTCTGAAAACACGATGCCATGAGTGCAGAAGATTCGAATCTGTGCAGGTCAGGGGAAACCTTGCTGCCTAGGGAGACACTGAATCATCACATTCTTACTCCTGCAGGCAAACTGGTCACACAGGTGTATAAAAAAGCAGGGATTTGAAAATTAGATAAAACTATCACTAGAAGCTAGAGTAAATTGCAACCTCACTGCCTACAGGTCACGAATAGGCACAGAGATTCAACAGATTGCCTTAGTGAGCTTCACATAGATTATTAGCAAGCCACAAGAATTGCTCTAGTTGGTATAAAGCAGGAATAAAGGTTCATCTTTTCCTTTGAGTAGCAGGACAAGCTGCCTCAACAGTTTCTTCTTTCATTTCATAGAATTACAAGTAATAGCCACAGATTTTTTTCATCTCATAACAACCTCTTTGGTTCTTTTGGATGGAGATTCACCTTGAGGTTACGCTCAACAGAAGTGTCCCATACACCTCTCATATGGATTTGACAGAAAAAGTGCCTCTGAAGAAAACTATCTAAGAAAAGCAAACATATAAGAAACAAATAGGGAAAGCACTTGGAACTGTAATCTGCAATACGATATTTAATTGGCAGTAGGTAATTTAGTGGTTGTTTATCCTCTAGACTTCCTTTTTTCAATGAGAGATTTCCACAGTTAGAAACAAACAATTACTCTGAGTATAAAGGGACATATTTATAGAGGTACGCAATCCTGTTGTTCATGTAACGCTGCTCATTCTCATTGTAATGACTTCCCACTGCAGTCTGAAATTCCCCAGTGTAGTGGACCAAGTGCTGCCTGGAGGAAAGAAGCTAAAAAAGGATGGAGGAAATTTTGCCAAATCAGCTAAGGGGTGCTGCAACCGTACTCTGCAAAAAAGGAAGAGCTGAGCCACAGCATGTGCTTTCATCTTGCTTAACCCTCCAGCCTCAGCTGCTCTGCAGTCCTCAGAACACTGAGAACCACATCTGCTGAGACAGTGCTTTTATCTAAGCTTCAGCAGAATCATCAGTGCTGGCTGAATTTAATCAGTTGTATTAGCGAGTGAAAAGTTCAGTCACACAAGTACTGTTACCAATTAGTTTCTCTCCATGAAAGATCATTTTTTCATTAAATACTTCTGAAAACACCACAAATGACATCTAGCAGACTTACTGCAAAGGTACAATGGCACAGGTATTTCAGCTCTCTTTTTCTCATTTACACTTCACTTTCCTTACTTATTTAGAAGATAACCTCCATAACCTCCACCAGATGATTTTCACTATACTTAAAGATTCTGTAAAGTACATTTTGCCTGGGAAAACTTCCACTTTGTCAGTGGATATAATAAGGCTGAGATTTCTTCCAAGACTGAACTCGCAGGCTGAGAAAAACCTTGTGACATCACAAGAATAAATCAGAATAGATACAGGCTTACATCAGCTAGCTTCATGCCATCAGGACTGACTCAAAGCGTGTTAAATGCCTTTCACGTAAGGCACTAAGGCTGGCTTTTTCCACAAGAAATTATGCTATTTCTTATGCCTTATGCTATTAAAGACATAAAAATAAAGCTGATCACATTGCGTCTCTCTGAGTGCAGGGTTCAGTTCTTCAGTTTTTAGATAAATAAGTATAAATAAGTCATTATTCACTTAAAATATTAAGAACCTTTCAAATTCAAAATGGCTTGTCATCCTTCTTGATTTTTTTAATTACATATAAAGGTCACATTAAAAATACTTCATTCTTATATCCACTAGGAGAAAACCTGTGTGATGCAGGGCAAGATGGTATCTAATGGATATAAAAAAATGCACATTGAAGACAATAGCACAACTGTAGAACTATAACTACGACACAAAACCCACACATTCCAGTTAATTGAGGAGGAGGAGGAGCATGCTCCATTCAGTCTGATAAAAACTCTGCAGCTCTCCAAGGTTTTGGGTACTTACTCTCCAAATTTAGCTAAACATCAGGGCCAACTTCCAACTCCATTTTAATGAGTTCAAGAGCAAGTTCAGCTGGACAAGACCTGGAGCAACTGGATGAGCTTCAGTGACAGCACTGCTTTAAGTGGGGAGTTGAACTACATGACTGTCAGAGGTCCCTTCTAAATTAAAATTAATCTATGATCCAGTGTCAAGAGCAAATAATGTACTGACACACAGCATTAAGTCAACTGCACTTTTGTTTGCACGTACCGGGTCAATGACCTTAGTCTTGTTCTGAGAGTTTCAGAGGACTCCTGAAAAACCTCTTGTGCTGTCTACAATCCTGTAATTGCCAGATGAATAAGCTTACGCACCTCCAATGGCTTACAGCTAACAAATGCACAGCAGGGCTATAGCTGAAGTTACCAGGATGTCAGAACACAGTGCTTCTATCTGCAAGTCACAGACAGTTGTCACAGTTACCAAAAGAAGTTCTTCAGTAAGTAGCTGAAAGGTATTTCAGGGTTTCTGAACTACAGAGGAAATATAGTTTTGTTTGTATACATTGGCTTTATCCCAGTAACTCCAATGGCCTAACTCACTAAAAGTTCGTGTTCTCTGTTTTCACTGTTTCCTCAGGAATATGCCACCATGTTCCTTCACACAGAGGGACGTGAGATCCTGGCACAGGCTGCCCAGAAAAGGTTGGGGTACCCCACTGTATAATCAAAGAATATTAGGATGTTGTAACCACAAAATAAACAAGTTAGGCAAAGCAGACTCTGATAACAAAAGAGAATAAATGGCAGGCTTACCCCTATCCTGGGCTCACCCACAAAACACCAGTAGAGGTGATCTCCAGAAGAGATCCTTCCCCTCTGGTAGCCAGCTCTTCAATAGGTCTAGGAGGGGTGCAGCCAGGAAGCACAGCTGAATTGCCTTCACCTGTGCTCCTCTGGCTGACTCATGGCTCACCTCAGGTGATCAATCAGAGCTTCAGGCCGTGACTCAGCAGTTCCCATACACCCACCCCTGAAGATGCTCAAGGCCAGACTGAACCAGGCCCTGGGCATCCTGAGCACAGCCTGGGCAACCAGCCCACAGCAGGGAGGAGGGACAGGGTGGGCACTGAGGTCCCTTCCAAGCCAAGCCATTCTGTGACTCTATTACCTTCACCCTCCGCAACAGTAACACAGTGGTGCAGACCTTACAAACAGCTATGTAAGCAAGAAGCCACTGCAAGTTGGATCCACAGTACTGCCACAATCTGAAACTGCTCATGCTCATTTGATTTGCTTAAAAGCTGTATCTAACACTGCTAATTTGCACATTTTTCCTATGCCACATTTCCCATTCAGGATGGATATTTTCATCCTCATTTTAGGAGGCTCCTGTTGGCTCCTTGGTGACACAGCAGCTTGCTGAGGTGACACCGGGCCCACTGCTCATAGAACCACTCTATTTGGAAGTTTTCTATTTTCCAAACCACTCTGTTTGGAAAAAGACCTTAAAGACCATCGAGTCCAACCACAACCTGACCATCCTACCCCAACTCTAACAGCCCTTTGCTAAATCATGTCCTTGAGCACCACATCCAAACGGTTCTTAAACACATCCAGGGATGGGGACTCAACTGCCTTCTTGGGGAGCCCATTCCAGTGCTTAACAGCCCCTTCTGTAAAGAAGTGTTTCCTCATATCCAACCTAAACTGACCCTGGCTTAACTTGAGGCCATTTCCCCTCGTCCTGCCACCTGTGAGAAGAGACCAACCCCGCTCTCACTGGAGGCACCTTTCAGGCGTTTTGAAGAGAGCAATAATGTCTCCCCTCAGCCTCCTTTTCCCCAGACTGAACAGCCCCAGTTCCTTCAGTCTCTCCTTACAGGCCATATTCTCCAAGCCCTTTCCTGATGAGCTGAGTGTTTCTGCTCTCCCTATGACCACGCTTTCCAAAGACAGGCAACGCTTTCACTAAGCACGCAGCACGGAAAAACGTGCTCACCACGTTGCCAGACTCTGCCCTCCTAGCAGCAGGCTGCCATTGCCCCAAGGCCGCCATTAGGCGGAACACGAGCGAGCAGAGTGCGGCTGCGCTCCCCCAGGCTCCCGCAAGCCAAGCGCTCAGACACCGCTTGTGGGCAGGCCGATAGCAACGGCCCCGACACGCGCCCGTCCCGCAGCCCCGCCGCCCACCCCAACCCCGCCACGCCGCCTCACCGGCCGCCCCGCCGCTCTGGCCTCCCGCCCGCCATGCCCCGCCCCCTGGGTCGGCCCGCCTCCGCGCTCTGTCCCCGGCTGCGCGGCGGGCATCCGTCCATGCGCCCGGGCTGAGGTGAGCGGCCGCCGTAAGCTGCCGCATTGTTCAGTAATCAAGTCGTAAAAAGGAAATATTTCACGCGTATATCACGGAGCTTTCTCGCTGTTTGCCCTGTAAGGATTTGACCCGCAGCAGTTAAAGCACAGACTTATTAGTCAGCATGTTTAGTAACGAAGCAAACATCTCTGTCCTCTCAAAGTACAGTTCCCAGATGCCAGCTCACGTTGACAGCCTTAAAAACACAGCATAAGCCCAGCACAAGCACAAGCACTGCGTTCCAAAATCCATGTTAACTATAATAATGACTCCTTTTCTTCCTGCAGGCCCATTGGCCCCGCACAGGCAGCACTGCACCATTCCTCAGCCATTTCAGTGTGAATATCTGCCCCTGTGACAAACACAAACTGATCTGGTTTCTTCTATAAATGAGCACACTGATGCTGCTGTGTTTCAGCAGTTATAACAAGACAAAAAAGGTTCAAAAAATTCAGCTGTTCTGTGTCTAGGAATGAAAAGAACTGGAAACTACTTCCTAATTTCCCCTCTTCCATCCATTGCCCGTTTCCATTCCATCAAATCCAATATTAGGTTTGGTATTCCAGTGCCCCTAGGCTTAGGAATAGATAACACTGGCTGTGGAATATTGGTATATAAAGAAGTGACATGAGAAGAAGCTGACTTTAATGGACACTGATGGCAATACCATGAAAATAGTTTGCAGCAAGAAATAAACACTGACCTGTAAGCTATGTATAGGTGCAACAATTGAGGTCAGTGTTGGATGAGACAGCTCTCATAGTTCAGTCTATTCTTCCAAAAAAATACTCCAGACTTTTTGTGAACACAGAGAAATGACCCTTTCAGCTCACTTTTGTGCCCTGCTGCATCTTTGTGTTAGTAGTTATACAAGAAAGAAGAATTCTACCAAAGAACAAACGTGTCTTTATCTTTCCTGAAACACAAAGAAAAGTTGGTTTTCCAAACAAGCCCGTAGCCATTTGTTGGTTATTTTGTGAAATCTAGTAGGGCACTGGAGCTGTACACAAGCACTGAGATAAACAATGTCTGAATGTGTTATCTTTTAAAGATCCAGAAAAGAAATTTAGATGCAAATATCTGTGCAGTTAACAAGATATTGAATTCTATGTAGTTGAACACATGCAACCTGGATCCTATGTAGTTAAACACATGCAACCGTTCATTTCAGTAAATTTAACAAGAAAGAATTCTCTTTCCTGAACATGAAAAATTAAGAAAATACTATGGCCATAGTCACAGCAATCATAAAAAAAAAAACCTTCAGTGATCAACACTGCACATCAGTGGGTACAGCTCATTTTAGCTTCTAGGCTACAAAGGAACTCAGGAAGGAAAGAAATATCCCGTATCCCTTTATAATTTCCACCAGATAATCTTTAAAGAATTCCTGTAAGAAGATTGCGTAGATTACAAAATTTAAAAGAAATGCCATGCCAAAGGAAAAGTATTAATAACTGGAACAGGCAGTGTTTCACAACTGCTTGATTGCCATGGTCAGGCAATTGTTCAGTCCGCACGCAGGAACTGGACATTCACATATACCGTTGCAGTGTGATACATTCCCCGGCCTGTGCCACTAGCAATGCAAGGTGAAAAAAATAACAACATGCTGAGATAGTTGAAAGAAGTACAGTGGTTACAACCTTCATGCTGATTTGTTTCAATGGTCTGTTTACTTCCCGTTATTTATCTTTAAAGAGAGAAACCTGTCTTACGCATTTCAAAAGACTTTATGTGTATGTGCAAATATGCTCCGTGCCCTGATTTTACCCGTATAACTTGCAGATATTTAGCACTCACTTTGTATCTTTCTTAGGTGGAACACAGGAGGCCGTTCATAGGACCCACTTATGTTCTCTCTTGGTCAAAGCTGGCACCTCTTCAGTGACCATTCCACCTTTCAGCAGGACCCTCCAACATGTAAGGCTGATTTGAGAAGGTCCACATCATGCAATCCTTTTAATGTGTAAACAATTTTAAGCAAGATTAGCCATATTTATACTGATATTATTGATAGACTCATCCGGAGCTTTTTGAATTAAGTAAAGAAAAGTGGTGGTCAGTGAAAAAAATGTACTCACAAAGTTTTGTAACTCAAATTAGACCCATGTGAAACATAAGTCTATTCTTCAATCAGTCTGATCCCCCCTAGGGTGTTAATTGTGGAACAGGCAATGTCCCTATTAGTTTAATTGCAGCAAACATATCCATTTTATTGTTTTGAGCTTATGCCAGACAAGGAGTCAGAAGTCATAGCTTCACCACTGTCTCACTGCTCAGCTCTGCACAAGCTCTTCTTACTGCCTCGACTCTCCTATCTGCACAGTGACTGTGCTGTACTCATTTTGGAAAGCTCAGATACAAAACCCTCCTGTTTAGTAGCACATTAGTAGCATTTTAAAAGCCACTGTTTGTTTCTCCTCACAAGAACGTATGATTCTCAAACATTTCAAAATGCAGAGGGCCTTCTTATAAAAAGAAAACCCTAGAAAAATGGGGATTTCTTCTGTTCATTTGTGCGCAGTGCACTAGAGGGCCCTCAGGAGTTAGAAACGGATGGAATGTACTTTTGGAAGGCACTTACTTCACAGAACTTTTCATTACAGAATTTAAAATAGAAGAGGGCTTTTTTTTTTTTTTTCCCATAACGTGAGGTTCATGTAAGTTTATAGCAGTTCGTATGCAAACAACCTCTCAGCACGGTTCGGTTCCAAACAGTATTTGGCTTGTAATGAAGTACATAAATGTGAACTATACTTAAAACTGAAATATGGGCTAGCATTCTTTGAGAATGTCAGTTTTACTAAGTTATTTTTATTAACCTAAGGAATTCACCAGGACAAAGGATGAGTCAAGCTGAATAGGTAAGAGGTTTTATACCTTTTATAGCTATAAGTATACTATATGCACTTATTCTATCTTTGTTTCTTTGAAAGGGTATATAAGGTACTGTGATTTTATTTGAAAAACTATTGCTAGATCCTATTTTATGGCTTCACAAGAGTGTAAAGAATTAAATATCTTTCATTTTTAATGTGAATTTACAAGTAATATGAACTGTATTTACTAGGGAAATTTGTTACTGCTACTTTATTTTTGTATTACTGAGTATATGCATATTTAACTACTACAGTTACTGCTGGTTAGTAGTGTGTAATTTACAGCATTTCCATAACATGAACTTTAGTAAAGACTGTCTTATAAGAAAAAAATGACAATTTGGATTGGATAAGCTTTTCTTCTAATGTTGGAAGACAGCTAGCTGAGATTACAGTTTGAGCCTGTATTTTGTGATTTTGGTGTTTAATTTACATTGTAACTAGAAAGTGAAAGATGTATTCTGGAACATTTCTAGATGCATATTGTCTCATTTAGAACTTCTGTCTCTTTAAATATAGAACCACAGATGCTGAATGTGTGTAATGAAATGAAATGGTACTATTAACCATTTTCTTTTTGCAGTTTGCAAGGGAGAACTTCAGATATTTTAGACTGCAAGTGAGTAAACTTTGCTTACGTAGCTGGCTCCATTCATTCTCTGAAACCAATCACTTGCCCTGTGGTGGCTGATAAGAATTCAACGGCTTGCAGACGTGGAGTGTCAGCATCCTTAGCACTAAACACATTCCCAGGCATATCCATAGTCTCTGTCCATCACCCATGCAGGAAGCTTTCTGGAAAAGGAGAAATAGAAAACAGAGAAGGGAAATCATGCATCAGCATCCTGGCTGGAGTGTACAGAAGACTGTATGCTGTTTTCATCATGCAGATTCACTAGAGAAATGACCTTCTTTGATCAGCCAGGTAAAATAAAAAACTTGTTTATTTGCTGCCTGTGCTCCCCACGGACACTGAGGCTGTGGACTTGCAGGCGCCTGAGGACAAGGAGGAATCTGCTGTTGGGCACTGCGTGTGTGATCTACCTGGGATTCCTCGTCAGTCAAGTGGGCCACGTTTTACCCCAGCACAAAGGAGGATATGAAACGATCAGTTCCAGAAGTCTCCAGGATGCAGCGCAAACTTCTTTTCTGGGCATCCCACTGGACAGCACCCTGTCACCACCCAGCTTCCAGGAACCCAATCTGGATGGCAATGGG